AATTGGTCCTGGTTTAAGCAGGGGGTTGGACTAGATGACCTCCTGAGGTCCCTTCCAACCCTGGTATTCTATGATTGCCCATGGCCAGCCCCTCACTCTGGGAATCACCCCTCTCCCCATGCCCCATTGCTTCCATGGGGACCCACAAGAAGTTAATCTGGTCCTGTCTATAGCCTTGCTACCTGGGCATCAGCAAATAATTAGCTCATTGTCTCTGTGTTGTATTGTTGCCAGCCCAAAGGGCCCGAGGAGGCAAACAGAGAGGTTCGTTGCCCGGTGTGCTTGGCACCAATAAAGACACCGAGGGGAGAAAGCAAGCTAAGTTTATTTCAGAGCTCTGAAAAGGCACTAGGAGACCAACATGTCTCAAATCAAGTGCAACAAATACAAACAAATTTTCCCTTTTATATTCCAAGCAGTTTCTGTGCAAGCCCTTGTCTAGTTCACCCTTACCCCTCCCTTCCAGACAACAGTTACAGCAGGTACACAGTGTGCATGTTAGAAACTGTCCCTTCGCCTGCTTATCTCTTGGCCTGGCAAGGCCTGTTTACAGCAGTTTTCCCCTGTCTTTCCCTCCCCCTTTTCCCCCGCATTATCACTACACGTTTTGCTAGTGTGAACAAAACTACAGCTGTCTGCTAGAAAAGCTGACCCTTACATTTCTGCTTCAGCATGTAAGTAGTTAGCACAGAAGTAGGTGAAAGTTCTCAAGATGGAGTTCTGTGGTTCAGGTAGGCTCAGAGCAGAAGAGCTTCATTGGCACTTCTGGCCTTCCACTCTCCCTAGTTACCTGGTAGCTATGCCTAGTGTCACCAACAATCCCTCCTTTGAGAACACTCAACAAACCTTTGTCAGAGTTTTCTCATACTCTAAAGACAAAATGCGATTAAGCTCCATGCAATCAGGACTATCAATGAGAGGATATAAGGGAACTTTTGGGGAATGGGAGGTACAAATCTTACATATGAGCACTTTACAGCAAATGAGCAAAAGGAAAAGGACAAAACATATCACCACACCTGTGAGCAAGATGCGAACAATGCTGCCCCCTATACCCCCCTAGTTCCCCTAAACCAGGTATCCAACCCCAAAGGGAATCCAAAATAGCGGGTTCCCCTTTCCTGGGCCTTCCACTGGTTCAAGGCCTGTTCGGCCAACAAGATATGCTTGTTAATATCCTGTGAAAACTCTGGGACATAGGTACAACATTCTTCTCCAATAAGGGCACATACCCCGCTCTGCGAGGCTAACACATAATCTAGGGCCTGGTGGTTCTGCAAAGCCAGCAGTCGAAGCTGGTACAGCTCAGCACTTATGCGTTTCTCTATGGCCAGGGTATCATTGGCAAAAACCAATGCTCAGGGTTCTCACGGGGAGTGTGCTGTGGCTGTTCAGAGAGATCACCAGGCATTCCCAGTGACCCTCACTGTCTTTAGAATAACAGCTTAAGTCCCAAATCGTTGTTATCTGTCTTTTCAGCAGGCTGGACAGTCCACTGTTCAGGAGCGGGTACTGCTTTCAGTCGAGAGTGATGAAACCAGTTCTTGTGTCCTTCGACTTTTGCCGCTGTGTGGGAAACAAGCAGGACGATGTGGGGTCCCTTCCACTTCTCTTGGAGAGGCTCGTCCTTCCAGGTCCGCACGAGAACGGAGTCACCAGGCTGCAGGGAGTGGACCGGGGTATACAGTAGAAGAGGCTGTGAATCTTTGGTGTATCTGTGAAGAGAAGAAAGAACAGCAGACAGAGAGCACATGTACTGAAACAAGAAACCACACCCCATCTCCCACTCCCCTGCCAGAACCGGTGTACCATTCAGAGGCCATGCCCTTCCAAACATAATCTCGAAGGGACTAAGCCCTAACCTACCCTTGGGGAGAGCATGAATGCGGAGTAACACAAGGGGCAAAGCATCAGGCCACTTAAGAGAGGCCTCCTGACAGACCTTTGAGAGGTGTCGCTTGAGTGTCTGATTTGTGCGTTCCACTACTCCACTGGCTTGTGGTCGCCATGGTGTATGGAGCTTCCAGGGGATTTGCTGAGCACTTGATATCTTTTGAACCACTTGAGATGTGAAGTGTGTTCCATTAGGGTTACCATATTTCAGCGAGCAAAAAAGAGGACGGGAGGAGCCCCGCCCCTGCCCCTCCC